CGGTGGTGAGGTCACGGCTCGGACGATGACGTCACGATGACGTCGCGGTGACGTCACAGGTGCAGATCGACGCGCTGAACCCCCAGTGGAGCTCCTCGCTGGCCCTGGGGGTCACCGGGGCCCCCCCCGGGCGCTCCCCCCTCCCCGCCTGCGCCCACGGCCTCAAGCGCCCGGCCTGGATCCTGCAGCGCCGCGCCGTCTTCCACAACGGCAGGAAGGTCAGCCCCGGGAACAGCCTGAGAACAGCCTGAGAACACCCTGAGAACACCCTGAAAACACTCTGAGAACGGGCCAGAGACAACCCCCAAAACACCTCAAAAACACCCTGAGAACACCCTGAAAACACCCTGAAAACACCCTGAGAACACCCTGAAAACACTGAAAACACCCTGAAAACACCCTGAGAACAGGCCAGAAACAACCCCCTAAATACCTCAAAAACAACCTGAAAACAGCCTGAGAACAGCCTGAGAACACCCTGAGAACACCCTGAGAACACCCTGAAAACACCCTGAGAACACCCTGAGAACACCCTGAAAACAGCCTGAGAACGGGCTAGAAACAACCCCCAAAACACCTCAAAAACACCCTGAGAACACCCTGAGAACACCCTGAGAACACCCTGAAAACACCCTGAGAACACCCTGAAAACACCCTGAAAACACCCTGAAAACACCCTGAAAACACCCTGAGAACACCCTGAGAACAGGCCAGAAACAACCCCCTAAACACCTCAAAAACAACCTGAAAACACCCTGAGAACAGCCTGAGAACACCCTGAGAACACCCTGAGAACACCCTGAAAACACCCTGAGAACACCCTGAAAACACTCTGAGAACGGGCCAGAGACAACCCCCAAAACACCTCAAAAACACCCTGAGAACACCCTGAAAACACCCTGAAAACACCCTGAGAACACCCTGAAAACACTGAAAACACCCTGAAAACACCCTGAGAACAGGCCAGAAACAACCCCCTAAATACCTCAAAAACAACCTGAAAACAGCCTGAGAACAGCCTGAGAACACCCTGAGAACACCCTGAGAACACCCTGAAAACACCCTGAAAACACTCTGAGAACAGGCCAGAAACAACCCCCTAAATACCTCAAAAACAACCTGAAAACAGCCTGAGAACAGCCTGAGAACACCCTGAGAACACCCTGAGAACACCCTGAAAACACCCTGAGAACACCCTGAGAACACCCTGAAAACAGCCTGAGAA